CCCAGCCAGCATGGCTGGCTGGGGAATTCTGGGAGTTGAAGTCCACTCATCTTAAAGTTCCTAAGTCTACTCATCTTAAAGTTCCTAAGGCTGAGAAACACTGCTCTATTCAGTGAGGGATCCAAACTGAAGCAGCCCTGAGTGACAGCTGTCTACCCTCTGCTTGAACACATCCAATGAAAAGGAGGCCAACACTTCTCTCAGAAATAGGTTCCACAGTCTAGCTCCTCATATTGTAACCAAGTTTTTTTTTCTAATTCCAGTTGAAATCTCTTTCTTGTAATCCATGTATTCTGTAACCTGCATTCTGGAGTGACAGAGATGAGATCTTGCACACGCATTACCAATTCTTTCAAAATCTTTTCATAGGGCTTCGTTTTTAGGGCCTTGACTGTCACTATTACATTTTGGAACCTGATCTAGTTGATCTGGTGCTCAGAATGGGACACAATATTCAAAGTAAGTAGAAAAAAAATAAAACAAGGAAGTAATCTTTCCTGCGCTTTGGAAGTTTTGCTTCCATTGAAGCCTAAAATTGCATTTGCATTTGCTTTTTTTTTGTAGCCACACCATATGGCTCTTTTTTAATCTGTAAACAATTATATTTTCAATATCTTTTTCACAAGTACTTTGGCCCAGCCAGAAATTCTTTTACGCAATACCTATTCATTTGATTTCCTTTTCTGAAATGAAGAACTTTGCATTTGTCTCTGGTAAATTTAAGACTGTTAAATTTCCGTTCTCTATTGATGTATTTAAGTATGCTAGAGCATTTGCTGTTCCTCCCAATTTTGCGTCGTCTACAGATTTGATGAGCATGACTTCCACTTCCTCATTCACATAATTAATCAAAAGATTGAAAAGTTCAGGATCCAGAACTGAGCCATGTGGCCCTCCGCTTGATGGGGAACTGTTCTTGAGCACTCCCCAAATACAATAATTAAGCTAGCTATCTAGCACTTAATTGCCATGCCGACCTCACTAATGTTATTGCCAAGCCAACTTATGTCAATGTATTAAATGTGATTCCTGCTTCTGCTGCACCCATAGCTCATTATAAGCTGAGTACAATGACTATCACACATTAGATATATTCATGCAACATCTTTAACCTGGTTCCTGAATTATGGGTTCTCACAATTAATTTAGCCTTAAATTAAACAAACAGGCTGGGTTTGCACAGCACACTAACCCACCCAAAAGCAAACAAAACTGCAACAGGGTTAAGACCACCATGTTGCTGCTAGCTAGTTCAGTGTATTGTGTGAACACAAGTGGGCTGGTATGCTTTGGCTCCCATTAAGTCAAATATTATCTCTCTAGCCCGCTTTTGTTTCTTCCAGGTATAGGCAATCTTTGTGGCCTGACAAGCACATTTAGAATTCTGAGAACACAGAATCATAGAATGATAGAGTTGGACGGGACCTTGAATGCCTTGTAGTCCAACTCTCCACCAAGAGCACAAATCCTCTTACCATCCCAGATAAGTGGGAAACTTGAAAACCTTGAGTGGTGGAGTCCCTCCACCCCCAACTCCAGGAGGCTGGCTGTTCCACTGCTTAAAAGCTCTCATGGTCAAGAAAGTTCTCCTTATTTTGAGTTGGATCTCTCTTTGTAAAGCTTCCACCCATTGGTTCTTGCCTTAACCTTTGGCGCTGGTGAATAAATGCACACCCTTTGACATCCCTTCAAGTATTTGAAGACTGCAAACATGTCTCCCCCAACTTCTCTTCTTTAGGCTAACCAAATCCACTTCCTTTAACCATTCTTCGCAGGGTTTAGGTTGTTATGAGTTCTCTCACAAAATGATTTCCATGGGAAGTTCTCCTGCACACAAAATGGTAGTTGTGATCAGTCAAAACATCCTTATTCAGAAGGGAAACTGATGAATTTGTTCCTCACCACCTCTATTACCCCTCAAGTGCACTCTACCACTCTCACTTTCTCTTTTTCAAGACCAAGTGGGCATGCTTTCCAAACAAAGCCTTGAGCTATAATCATTCATTAGGCTTAGATTTTTAGAATACTTTGGGGTACTCTGAAATTATTTCAAATTAAGATGAAGCTAATGGCTGACATATTGCTTTGCAGCATGACAGTTTTTAAAAAAATATTAAAGTAAAATGATGAAGATGAGGAGGAGGAGGAGGAGGCGGAGGAGCAGGAGGAGCAGGAGAAGGAGGAGAAATAACCATGTACCACAGGAAGTACTGCAGTCAGCATTAGTGATTATGGTCTACTGTGATCAGCAGCAGCCTTCTTGGGTCTTATAGAATTTTCTCATCATCACATCCTTCTCTGTTTTAAGATTTAGAAATCTTTAAAAATATGGTCCTTGACCATACTGCCTGGAGTGATGTGAGTTGTTGCCTACAGTTTCTGGAGAGTACAAGGTTGGAAAGTGCAAGAGCTGAAGCTTGCAGGATAGGAATTAGCAGTTCTCAGGTGAGACAGATGTGTAAAGCTGATGTCTCCCAATTTCAAGACCAGGAAAAGAATGGCCAAATTTCCATTGACTTGAAGGGATGGGAGGAAAAACCCTAGAATTTAAATCTCTCTCTCTCTCTCATTTTATGTTCTACATTACACAAGCAGATCTTCATATATATAGTTTCTCTTTTTTCTGAAATAAAAGCAACAAATCTAGTTATGTCATGTCTATGAGATTCTCTTATAAGTAAGTTTTTATTCTTATTTATTTATTATTAAATTTGTATGCCACCCATCTCCCCCAATGGGTGACTCTGGGCATCTCACAGTTAAAATCAAAAACCCCATCAACAATTAAAAATACCCCATAAATAATTAAAATAAATTAATCGATTAAAAATCAATTTAAAATCAAAAACCCCATCAACAATTAAAAATACCCCATAAATAATTAAAATAAATTAATCGATTAAAAATCAATGAATACAAAGTAAAGATACTTGAAATGTATTGTTGTGCCCGGAATACAGGACTTGATTTTGGACAACTCTTTCTAAAGTATAGGCACAGGAGTTTATTTTGAAAATAAAATTTGAAAATTTTGAAAAGACTTCTCACCCCCTCCTTCTCACACATAAACCATAGTTTGCCTTCTCTAGCCCTGACAGT